TGTATACTGGAATTTATCGAAGCGTTAGCCATTCGTGAACTTGAACCGCTGTGGTGGTGTTCATAAAGATAATTTGTTGTTTCACTTAATTTCCCTTGTTAACCTGATTATATTACCAAAATGATTGTCATAACCTTTGCCTATTCATCATATTTGACCTTTAAACTATTTCATTTTCATTTTCACAATTAAATTGATAACTTGAAAAGTAAATGTGTGTGTTCTTGCATGTAACATACCGTTGTTGATTGGACGGAATTGATCGGTCTCTGCTGGCATATGGGATCCTGTGCGGAAGATTCGATTTTACCTGTGCTCTTATGATAGTAAATATGGACAGTGGCTAGCAGTAGAATCCAGGACTCGCATCGCATCTTATTTGGGACTCGTCAGCTAGATGTACCTACCTTCCAGTGAGTGATGTTGTTCCCACTGGGTTTCGGACTCGAGAGCGATCGCTTCATACGCCAGAGCGATATCCACTACACCACCGAGCCACAACAGCCACTTCTTGTGCGACGGGTATAGTATTGCTTGTTGACTGGAGTGAATTGATCAGTCTGTATTGGTATATGCGGTCCTGTGTGGATGCCTCGATAATGCCTTTATTGACGAGTCCCAAATAGGAAAAAACGCACGTCCTGGACTCAAATACCAGCCACTATCCATCTTTAAATGTGTGTGCGATTAAATTGTTGAAAATCTATTGCGCATCCCATATTGTTCAGATGATCTTCGTCTTCTAATAACATTAGAGATATCCATTAAAGGGATTAATTGTTTCAGAGTTTAACAGTGAAAAACTCATTAGCTAGTTAGGTTCTCCTAAAAACCTCAGAAAGCACAACCTACCTTGGAGATTCAATTCTGCGTCATTTACTGATGAATCAAGGTACTTTAAGGTGTATCTTGGTAAAAAAAAATATACCATAAACCAGGATCCCCAGTCTTCAGCCGATTAATAGTAAACATAAACCACCAAAGTGGGAAACAGTATCCATTATATAAGTGAGTTATTAAATTACTTGTAAACCATCTAGTATCCTGAACAGTTAACTGAACTAATCTAAGTCTTTAAAGCAGATTCTGATATCTTTGAGTAAGTATTCGAGTTGTCTCATATTGTCACGTTGTCAGTACTGATCCAGAATGACCTAAAAGTCACAGTGAGTTATGACTTGAAAACCACAGCACACTATCGATTGGTAGCAGCTGGGAGTTTTAGGACATTTTGGGCATTACTTAGAAATTTAACAAAATAGGTGGTGATATGTTCACCATCTTATACACATCCTTAGTTAAGTTTAAATTAGAAAACTGCACACAGGCTGCAAATCCTTGTCTGGAAGGGGACACAGACCTTCTAGGAAGAGTTCAGAGGGCAGCCATTTGTACGATCCCTGCGACGGCTGACGTCACCAAGGAAGATTGACTTAGGCAGATGAACCTCTTCTCTTTATCCTGTTGAAGACAGAGGGGAGACCTAATCATGGTATAAAGGATTCTAAGAAATAACTTCGGACTTAATCTATCTTCTATTTTCCTTCCCACTAGGTAGAAACACCTCAGAGGACATAGTAGGCGGCTACAAAGCAAAGAATGAACATAGTCTCCACACAGTACTGTTTCTTGCGTCGTGTTATTAACGCGTTGAACTGATTCCTAGTAGAGATGGTATCTGTATCACCAACTGACTTGTTCGAAAGAGGATTGGACATGCACAGAAATCTACTTGAAAAGGATTAGTATAGCCTTACAGCCCCCTATCCTCCAACCAAAAATCTGAATACTTATCCCTTTCGGTAAGATAAAGGCTTGAAAAGCTTTTGAATAGCTTGACGAAAACGTTGTAGAATACTGTAAGCTGCTCAATTTCACTATGTCTTTATCGTCCTTCTAGTTTGACTTACTGTTCTTTGTCCACCATTCGATTTAGCTACTTATGATTTTAAGATCCACATTCCCGCATACTAATGTTGATTTTGATCCGGTAGGGACACAGGGGAGTGTTCGGCGTTTATCACTGGGTTTGTGGGGGTTAGAAAGCCCTGATTTCAAGCCAATTGTGCTCATGGATTCTAGCTTTTAGATGAAACGAATGGCATATGAGGAGTGGCCTCCTAAGATGCAAAGGCAGTATCTCAACTCTCACACAATATATGAATTACAGTGTTACACTAGATCCACTTTACAGTTTTTGGCAACATTGTCACCAGCCAATTAAGGAGCCTTTCATTAATATTATCTGCATTATTATTTGAGTGGAGCTAGTATATTTTAACGGTGTTTGCATAAAATGGTCATTTTAGTGAGTAAAAATTGCCCACAAGAATGTGGACAAATGGATAAAAATATTTGAATTAACAGAGTACTTCTGTTCACTGTTCGTCATTCAACACTTTATTCATAAGACTATTTGATATAACTATGGTTTTGATGACGTTGTATCCTCTGAGCTGGATGTCTTAATCATGTTTCTTCAGTCCATTAAACAGTCAGTGGATGGTCTGTATATGACACTACTTGGCAGAACATACTGATTTAGACACTTGTGGAAAAAAGTATAGTTTTCTTTCATGTGGAAACCTGCATCTTAGAGATGTTCTCCACCTTCTGAACCATAAGAAGTGTTTGATGCACGTAGAATTTTGAGATAATGGAGAATATTTGTAGATCAAAGAACATGAAACTATCGAACTTATCCTCCAGAGCTGGATTCGTCATCGTCATCATCATTATCATCATCATCGTCAAGATCAACACATCACCAGGCATTACTGCGTAACGGTTCAAGCTGTCATACACCCCATGTCAGTACATCAGGTAAACAAGACAATAAAATGGAAGATGAAGAAGCAAAGAAAAATTGGTCAAAGGAATTAGAAGCACAAAGTAGTGAAAGAGAAGGAGGAACAATGAGCTGATGAGACTAAACGTAGAGGTGAAAATGAGAATAATGTGCATGTACATCTGCGCCACTGACATCGGTTCTCAGCCATATCACTTGGAGTCTTCAAACACTCAGTGGCTTTTCTTATCCCGTGGATCCAACCGACTTGTCTGTATCTACTTATATGGCTGAAACCGAAAGTTAACGACTTCATGCATTCATACAAGGTCTTAGTCTGACCACTCGGGGCCTTTTTCCATCCTAAATCTACTTCGGCGAGCATTGTTTGATGAGGCAGAAGGTGGCTAGGCACACATAACACATGTCCCAGGCAGCCATCTCACTGGATGAATGTTCACAACCTCGTCAACTGACTTACCTCTTCTCCCTATATCTCTACATCTGACTTCTGCGTTTCTCAAGTGGTGACAACACGAGACACGGCTTATATCACGAAGGCAACGGTATTCAAACACCTGAAACTCTTTCATGTCTTCCACCTTCAATGGCCATGTTTCATAGCTATACGGTAGAACAAAACGAACTGCAGCACAGTTCACTCGAATAGACAGTTGGATATCGTGGAGCCGCCACAGATGGCGTGAGTTGGTAAAAGCCAATCGAGCATTTCGTATCTGTCCAGAGACTTCGTCAGTCACTGACCAAAGCATCAGGGCTGACCCGACTTCTCAGGTAAGTTAAGTGTTCAACGCGCTGAACCACTTTGCTGTCTATTGTTAGTCAGGGTATCGTTGAAAACCAGTCCTGGAGCAACAATTTCTATTTGAATGGTGAGAAACGCATCCCAAACATTCTCAAATTGCCACTTAAGGTGTCCAGAGGACTGCATCTTGTCAGCATCTCCACCTAACAGGACTATGTCATCTGCTTAAATTAGGTCTACCTAAAATTCTCCATAACTACAAGTATTCTCCATCATCTCAGTAACTGTGGTTCAGCAGACAGATACTATTGATACAGTGTGTTGGTCGTAGGTGAAATGGGATTCTGGACTGTGACAGAACTTTAACAACTCCCCCCCCCCTCGGGGTTAACAGACCAGTCCTCTATCAACTGAGCTGCAAGATCCCTCTACTGAACAGGTCTTGATCTCATCATAGCCATCACAAGGTTGTCAGTAGTCAGTTAGTTAGCCCTCAAACGTACTAGATGGTTAAAGGGCTTAAAATATGAAACTACATCAAATAGGGGAAAAATAACCAACAGTGAAGACTTTATGATTGTTTTGTTAGCCTATTTGTAAACTATAATCAAACTCTTCACCGACTACTGAGTACATGATTTCAAGTTGCTTCATTGAAAAAGGGTGTGGTGAACAGGTCAGTAAAGTAGAAAGATATTCTCAGTAAGACCGCTGATGACTTTTAGTCACTGAAACCGGTTAACTAACAACTCTTCTCAAGACTAAAAGACATGATCCATATATTACTAAGGGAGTTGGTACACTTTACTTCATTTCTGATTTCATTATAAATATCACTGTAAAGCTCTATAGTGTCATCGTGTGTGTAAAAAAACTACTCTTCGTTTACTGAGAATAAACCTACTTCACGTAGAATATTTAGTTTTCAATTCATTTAAATATCAACTTGTGAGTAATTAGAACAAACCTGGCAGCTTTATTTGTCTATTAAACATATGAAAATGATTACTAATCAAGAAATTGTCATTATTATTTTATAATTTATTAACTAAATCGACGTTTAAACACAATGTTTAGTGGTTAGATTGGAACCTCCTGAATTTATTTTACACCTGGAACACATTTCTATCCCTAGAACTACTGTTTAAAATGTAGCAGCTACGAAGAGATTCACATTTTTAACGGCAAGAAACTTGAATATCATCTGTAATGGTTAAAATTATTGTTATTGATTTCAGATGGGGACAAAAGACTTAGAGTTTTGGTATTTATTCGTTTTCACTTAGACTTTACCCCTATTTAAACAATATTTTTAGACTTGCATGCAAATTTAAAGACAAAACGTCCAAATCTCAGTAATTTCTATGAATTTAATATTTACAAGCAATGGTTATAATGGTTAAGATTATGATACAATGAATAATAATAAGGACGGTTAATACTTACCTTCCAATTACGTGTAGGCACTGTAATAGCAATAAGTACTTTGTATTCCTTTCCATTGCTTGTAGGCGTTGAAGGTGTTGAGATATGTTTACTTGTCTCTGAGATAAAATGCTGAATAGGCATTTAAGGATAGGTTTAAATTCTCTTTTGTTCAATATGACCAAAGTTTTTTGCTAGCATTACCTATAAATTTAAAATGATCATTACAAGAAATATTTGTTTAGTTAAAGCAACAATAATCAATGAATGTAAAGGAAAGTACTGATGAATAGTTGCTTGGCTTGACCTGTAAGCCATACTTTTCTTTCTCAAATTCATATATTTTCAGAAAAATGGATGTTTTGAAAATAGATCAGTCACAAAATAAAATTAGACAATAAGTTGCAATAAAAAAAGTCAGTATCCAGAAAATGAGTAGCTTTGAATACTTTTATAAGATGAAAGTGTTTGTTTTGACAAACTTATTGAGTAGTAAGCTCCACAAAATCTGTGCAAAATCATATAACAGTTTGAATTTTGAGCATTATAATATCTTAATAATATACAGTCAACAGACAGAAAACAGGAGCAACGAGTATCGTAAAAAGTGAGGTGGATAAACAGTCAAAGGAGCGAAATAAGTCCTGTTGGCTTACAGATAGTGAGTACATAGAAACCCTGGCGAGTAATATCAAAAAGTCAAATATCTAGAAATATCCTTGAACATGGTAAAATCCTAGCTAATAACACTCATAGTTTTGTGAATGTTTCAGTGCTCAATGCAGAATTCTGACTTGCTTTTTCTGCGGTATTTCTTATCATCATAGTATTGACATTTGGTCTCGACAGACTAACAGAAATTAGTTCATCTTTAAAACTTGCTCTGTGTACTTCAGCCCTATCAACTCGTTAGTTTACCAACCCACCCAAAAATTGTGTGGTATAAGTTTATAATGGATAGAGAAGCATTTTTGAGTTGAGAAATGTTTTTTGGGGCTGGCGTTATCTAGATAAACATTAAAATACCTTGAAGTCATAAGCAAATGTTTCGTTCCACTTTCAGACAACATAATAGCGCAAACTCCAAACCGCATGCAAGATACAGCCAACAATCTTAATATTCCATTGTAAGGAGAATATTGTTGAACTAATGAACTATAAAATAAGTGTTACTATATAGCTGGAGACTTCTTTCACCACTTTACTTATATCCTTAGTCTTCAGATTCTGATTTAATCTGTAACGTATCCGAAGTCCTACTCGTTCACTCACTCACTAGTTTAGATTCCTAGACTGTATCACCTCTTCATTGTCAACCTCAACCGTTTGTCAGTTATCGTTTATTATTAAATGTTGGTACATCCTGTGTACTTGCTGAGTTATTGGCTCACGATTTTCTCTTCCTCTTTTTCCTTCCAGATTCCCGTACCCACCACTAAACTGACACTACTCTACGTGCCCTCTGAAATAACGTACCTACCTGCCTATCTACCTACAGGCTAGACGAAAAAGTATCAACATTTTGTCGTTGCAGATTGATACCAAGGACGAAGACTATTACGCAGTATCAAAAGAAAAACGAAAGTTTATTCACTTTTCTTCTATTTTATGTTGGTCATATAACTGCTATTAGTTTATGTCAAAGAACAACTATAAGTTCTTTGTTTTTATTTTTCCAATAACATTATAAATTTAATTTTCTATCACGCAAGTTGACTCGACAGTTGTCAAGAATAGTGACAACCTGGTTCAATTAAAGTCCACTGTTCGAAGCTGAGTTCCTATTTTAGACCTATTACTTTGTAATTTCACTTATCGACTTTTGTGCTTATGACCAAGTGGGTTAGGTAGGATTACCATGTTTTATAAAGAGAAGATGTAAAAAAAATGATGACATTAACGGAAACAAAAGTGCGCAAGAGTAGACAAGTTGAGTCAATAACAGTTAGCAAAAACGTTTCGAGTTTCGAAAATAAAAAAGTGGACACATTTAAGCCATTAAGAGAAAGTTTGAGCTTTGTCAGCAACACTCCTTAACTTTCGATCTTTGTCATTCCGACAACCATTGAAAGGTGGATTATGTCCCTTTAATGGTCTGAATAACAAGCAGCAGGCTTCGTAAGTCCCTGAAACATCTTAAAACTCGAACCATAAGTCTGACCATACTCCAAAAATACGTTCACAAGTGTAGATATGAAAACGTTGAAGGTTGATTATCTCTCAGTTTGTAAAATATGGAGCCAGAAGGTTGGAGAGCTAATCGCAAAGCATATTGCGTTGAATTTAAAGCCAGTTAACCCTTAGATAGCTACATTCACTCATCCATTTTGTCTAGTTTGGGAACCAGATGTAGATTCTTGTGATAAGGACAATTAAAATACAGAATGCGCTCAAAAAATAATAATTCTAGATTTGTGTAACAAAATAATACGCTTTATTCGCACATACAGAAGGTATACCGAGTTATTTGAAGATGATTAAACTTATATGCGACTATTAAAAACAGTTAAATGGTTATTCGACAGGTAAATCATGAGCCACGAAAGAGTGTGAACTCAATAAACCTTTCTTGTTGGTTTATGACACATGGAATATAAGAAAAGACATTCTACAGGCTTCATGAGGCAGGCAATTCGGTTACGACTATGACATGAAAATGCATGCCGATATCTGATGCTTTACAACACATCAAATTGAGAAATGATAATACGGTGTCGATAATCTTCTCAACCCGGAAAAAGTGAAGAATAAAAACAGAATGGTAGTTATTACCTAGTACTATTCAACGAAAAGACATAAGCAGTCCGAAATATTACCAATTTCCGAATATGTGTATATGATTAGCTTAAACAAATGTTGTGAGGTAAATGTGAGTCGATAGCTGCTAGCTTTCAAAAGTTTGTATTCCTTTCAATTCATTCGTGTTGAATTATATGACACTAGGATAACAAGTGTCCGACATTCATGCTGACTAAAACTGTTGAATTCAGTCTGTTGCAGAAAATAATTCCCGTGATTAGTGTTCCAAGTTCTACTAAATTCATTACTGATACTGACGTTTACGGTGTAAATGTGGTGACAAGGCCAAATGAATACGGTCAGCCACCAACTCCATTTGGTAGGTCGTGCGTTATATCCATACGCAGAAAGAATGAATAAGTAAATTCTGAATGTTTATTGTGTTGTGTCCTCTGAGCTTGATGATTTGATTGTGGAGCTTTCACCGTCACCCTGGACAACATCATAAGTAGAAACGCCAGGAGTTTCTGATATGGTTGTCTTAGGTGACATTGAAAGTTTCACGATTTGATCATCCAGCTCAGAAAACACAATGTCTTAGAGACTGTCTTCCTCAGCCACAAACATTCCCCATAATCTCAGGATTAGAGACGTCCCCCAAGTACCTCCTCTTTTTCCTTATTCGTTTACGCGCTGTTTAGGCTACCTACGCTCATTTCACTGCTTGGGTTTCCTTTATATTGTGCGAAATATGATGTTTGTGTATTATATTGGCTAACGTAGAAACGCTATCTTCTCTCTGGGTCAGCTGGTGGGACGTTGGTGATGGCAGAACCAATTCTGTCCCAAAAAATCAAGAACGAGAATAGTTAGGACCAGCTTTGAGCATTTCCCTTAGTCCGTTAAGCGTAGAATGTGATACGAAACCCAAGTTCAGGCTAGGCCCAGTAACAAGGGCGAAACCGTCAAGTCAGAGATATTAAGCCACTGAGTTACACGGCGTTGCTCATTTACGATTCTTTAGCTAACTACTTCAAACATCTCGGTGCTTGGATATGACTCATCAAATATATGACTCCTACCTGGCATTCTACGATCACAGCGATTCAACTATTGGCCCCAGCACCCGTCAAAGTGTGCACAGTCTCTAAAAGCTTTCATTCGCCGTGAAGTGTTGTTTGTAGCTGAGCTTGTGATATTTATCCTCATTCTTGAGTTACTTTGAAGTTAACTACAATGTTATCCACAACTTTATATACGGCGGAATTTCACCACTATTCGCCGAGCCACCAAGAGCAGTGCAAAGCAGTATGAAGGCTATGATGGACATACGTTCAGTTTAGCGTTAACAAATAAAAATAGAGCTTTTCATCAGTGGGGCGATGTAATGTTATCAGTATTATCTATCACTGCTTCTACGGAATATTTTAACATTTCAATGAACCTAGAGATGCATTTCTTTTTAATAATACATAGAATCTGCAGTGGTACTTCCCTCTATATACACGATATTTCAAATGAAGATACTTGAGTAATTTGGGATGGAAAGGAGGTAACAAAAACGCTGATAAAGATTTTTCACCGCTAAATGTTATAATTGTACTCGCAAAAATGATATGCACTTATAAATTCAGGAATAAATCATTTATTACTATCGTTAACTGACTGATGTTTCACTTCCACACAGATGGAGCTTGAGGAGTTTGGTCAGCCGATTTAATCGCGAACATTTTCGGCTGATATTTCAGGAGGTCAGAATTATTGTTAAACATTGGTCACACTAGGACAGCACCATTCAAATGGCAACTCACTGAGGACTACTGCCATTAATCTCTTCCCTCCAATTAGAAGAAACATTAGGAATATTGACCCCGAAGCTGCTTACGATGACTAGGTCAAGTTGGCGGACCTTCATAATACCTCAAGCCTTCTGAAGTCAGAACAAAGTGTATACGTAGCCCAGGAAAGTGTCACTTGTGAAAGCACACATCCGAAATTCGTTTTCGAGGCTTAAACCCGACGGATCCAATGGTGACCACAATCACACTACAAACTTTGTATTAAAATCACTTAACTTCAGTCATGTGACAAAGATATTATCTACGTTGCATATTATACGAGCTGCATTGTCAAGCATTGCCAGTGCGGGCAGAAAAACCCGGTACTACCAATGGATTCTAGGCGGAGAAAATGTGTCAAGCCATTTTAAAATTTATGGCCGGACTCCTGAAGAAATTTCTCATGCGATGAAAGAACGTCCTTACGGTCGAATGTCGGTCAAAAGACTAGGCTCAGTAACACCTCGGTGTGCTAAGATCCGGACTTGTGGTTAATGGGTGAAGGAAGCAGGAGACAACGGTGTATGCAAAAATATAGGTTTCCCAGATGCTGACGAAACTGGTGAC